CTCGGTAAGCTGATAGATCGATACATGAAGAAGTGAACATTTGTCTTTTTGTCTGACACAAATGTAAAAAAAAATATTTTAATGGGTAAAAATTGGTAAAATAAAAAAGATGCATTTAAAGCCCCAAATCGAACTTGATAAACCTCTTAAAATTTAGAAATACGTTCGAATTCGGAGGGGGTAGAAAAGATAGTTACGAAAACTTTACCCACACAATCAAAAGGCCTTGAAAATGCAAAATGACTACGCCAATACTATTTTATTGTCCCTAGTACCAGATGTTGCCGCAGAGAAGGATTTCCAAATAAGGTGGTGTAAATAGCTACTTAAGACGAAGCCGTATGAGACTAATTAAGGAAACGTGTGTACAAACATGTGACGAAATATAACATGCTACTTTTGCCTCCTACATGCTGTCAACATGCTGGCAAGCTAACTGAAAGATATTTACAGTGTTCGCTGTTTTATTATTATTGTTATGTTTTTATAGAAATGCTGCAATTTTGGCTTAGCACTACTCATTTTCTTTTTAATTTCAACATGCAAAAAAATACAATACATAGTGGCGACGCACTCAAGCAAAATGCTTATATTCACGTCACCACTACACATAAAATAAAAATTACATCACAAAATATAGGTATCGTCCAGGAACAAGAAAACAGAGTTCAGCTATTATGATATTATAAATGAATACAGAAGTATAAATCAGTTGTTAAAGTGCTTATGTTCAGAAAGATATAGCTGTGTAATAATGAGTATTCGAGAGTTGACTTTAAATGAAAGTAAAGGTGATCCGTTAAGTAGCAGATATACAGTAGCACTATCGGATAGGTTTTGAATATCTAAGAATGGGATATTTAATTATAAAAGTCTGTCGAGGAGGCGTACACAATGTTGGATGTATATGCGGCAGTGAAGTAAAAACATATTTTCCATACATACACTGCTGCAAGAAATATGCAAATTCCATAACATTTGTGTGTCTTCGCAACCTAGTTTTGATAGAGACTCCATGATAACAATAAAACAATCCAATAAACTTGTTTGCATAACCTTGTGCAACTTCTAAGTTAATTCCTCGTTAAGCCCTCCCGAATTTCCCGTAAAGTTGCCAGTATCAGACTCATATTTATGTTCACCGAAGGAAAATAAATGGTTTTTGCTCAGTTTCCGACTCTTCTTATATTTCTTCTTCCGTTCCAAACATATTTAAAAAATCGATATTTTGATAACTAGGGCTTCAAATATTATAAAACTTAGCACGCTGGTAGATCGATACATGTGGAACTGAACCTTGGCCATTTTGTTTGACATAAATGTCGAGAAATTTGGTAATTGGGTAAAAATAGGTAAAAAAGTGCATTTAAATCCTCAACTCGAACTTAATAACTTAAAAGCTTTTGATTTGTTTTCCCTGAAAGTGTTGTCTACAACTTTGTTTATACAAAATGTACATTGAATGTCTAAAGTTGTTCCACCACTGGCCACTCAATTTTCCAAATGACTTTGCCGTAGAAAAGATAGTTACGAAAACCTTACCCACACAATCTAAAGGCCTTGAAAATGCAAAATGACTACGGCAATACTTATTCATTGTTTCTAGTATCATATGATGTCGCAGAGAAGGATCTCCAAATAAGGTGGTGTAAATAGCTACTTAAGACGAAGCCGTATGAGACTAATTAAGGAAACGTATACAAACATGTGACGAAATATAACATGCTACTTTAGCCTCCAATATGCTGTCAACATGCTGGCAAGCTAGCTGAAAGGTATTTACAGTGTTTGCTGTTTTATTATTATTGTTTCTTTCAGTCGTTTTATACAAAGGACAGAAAACAATGCACATGCAATTTTTGCTTAACACTCCTCATTTTTTTTATTTCAACATGCAAAAAAAAGTACAATACATAGTGGTGACGCATTTAAGCAATATACTTATATTCACGTCACCACTAAACATAAAATAAAAATTACATCACAAAATATAGCTATTAAGATACATGTATTATAAATGAATACAGAAGTATAAATGAGTTGTTAGATAGCTTAAGGAGAGATATAGCTGTGTAATAATGAGTATCTGAGAGTTGACTTTAGATGAAAGTAAAGGTGATCCATTAAGTAGCAGATACACAGTAGCACTATCGGATAAATTTTTAATATCGAAGATGTTTTTAATTGTAAAAGTCTGCCGAGGAGGCGTAGTACTCATTCAATAAAAAGAAGAGTATGCGAGGTTTTCAGAATTTCTATCAGCGGAATATACTCCTTCTGCGGTGACCCTGAGGGTAAAATTGAACATACTAACAATCCTCAAATGCATTACTCTTTTCAGCAGCAATTCGTGCTTGTCAAAAAAGAGATAATAATAGCAATAAAAGTAAGCTTGTCATAAAACACTGTGATGAAGATATGGATAGTAGAAACATCCCGCCATCTTTACCAAGAACAAAGTCTCGAAGTTTGTTTATTATTGTTTATTAAACCGATCCCCACTATTTTGTACAGACTAAGTTTCCATACATACTAGTCTTCCCGGAGTCGTTATACACATTTACTACTACAACGTGATGAGGCTTGACTACATACTACTAACGTTACAACATGGCAAGGCTACATACTACTAACATTACAACATTGCAAGGCTTATAACCACATACTACATAAACACACACAACATGCAAGATGTACCGAGAGGTCAGAGGTCTTGTTATGAAATTAAAAATTCATATTTACACTTTGTATAGGCGTTACGTCTACCACCAAGCTTGTAAGGGTTTGGAGTTTCTTAAAAGAGAGACAAAGAGAAGAAAGAAGAGAACAGGAAGCACGAAGGTAATTTTGAACTGAGTTCAGGTCAAAACATCGAGTATATAGTGAAGATATGTCTGGTAAACATCCCCCACTACCGTTGCCCACAAGCAAGTATGAAGATGTGGATCCGGCTGGTAAAAGTATCATTGCTCTAAGTTCTGGGCTGCAACGCACCGCGCCCAATGTTCCCTCGCCTCGCCATCTTGACACGGAAGACAAAGAGAAGGACCAGGTAGGCAGCAGGAACGAAGAATCGGACAGAAAGTACGAAGATGTGGATCCAGCTGGTGAAAGTATCTTCATGTTAAGTTCTGGGTTACAACGCGCTGCACCCGATCAACCACCAACTCGCCATCTTGACATGGAAGACAAAGAAAAGGAACAGGTCGGCAGAAGGAACGAAGAATCGGACAGAAAGTACGAAGATGTGGATCCGGCTGGTGAAAGTATCTTCATGTTAAGTTCTGGGTTGCAACGCACTGCACCAGATCAACTCCCAAGTCGGGAAGACAAAAAGAAGAAAAAAGTGGACGGAAGAAAAGACGAATCTGACAAAAAGTACGGACATGTGGATCCGCACGGGGAGAACAAACAAACAGGTAAAAAGTATGAGGACATGGATCCTGAATCCGGCGGTGTCGATGTGATAATAAACTCTGGATTAAAACGTCCTGTGCCGGACCTTCCCCCTCCTCGCAACCCTGACCCTGGAGACCACATGGCTGGGTATACGCCACAGTACCCCACGCAACTTCTACGGTAACGTAAGGAAATAAGCTGTAACAGATATAGGATAGATTTGTGAAGTATTGGCGTTTTATTGTAAAAAGACATCCAAATTATTTTTACATGCAAACAATTGGGAAGCCACAAAAACATTATCATCATCATTTTTCGTTAACAGATTGATGTAAAACGGCAAGTCGACAGAACAATCAATATATTGCATGCAACAAATTGCATGCAACAATTTACACAACAAATGTCACCTAATGTCTAAAATACACAAATTCATTAGACACATTGCAGTCATTAACGTTTGTGGCATGGAAGCTACTGTATCAAACGCTTAGATTTTGAACATGCTTTGTTATAAAACAAACTAGAGGGAAGTATGAGTCCTGCTATGTATCACATTTATAACACTGAAAGGAGAAGTGTTTATAGTGTGACATTTTATAATGATGTTGTCTTCG